TCCCCATCAATTGGAAATACTGTATTACAATCTGATCTTTACACCCATTTCTTATATGCATATCAAAATGAGGTAACCCTATTACCATTAAATCCGAGAAATGGAAGTAACAAATTATTTTTAACAGACAGAAGATAAAAATATTCATCCTTTAGCATCTGAAAAGCATGGGCATACAATAAAACATTTGAAAAAAATGTTCCAGGAATGAAAGAACAGAATTTTTGTTTTTCTATTTCCCCTCTCAGATGCTCACATTCTTAATCAACTTGTTCATATAAATACAGCAGGATTGATGTTATTGTTTTTTAAGTAACTTTTTACTGAATATGTCAACAAGATAGTATATAGTGTATAGCGAGGTTTTGAAGTTAACAATGCGTGCAACATGGCATATTGCAGAAAACAGATAATGCAGACTTCAAATCATCTAATTTTCTATGTTAAAGACAGAAAATATACCATACACAGAACAGAATCATGTATGCATGTCGCAGTTAAAATCAGTTTTTTGAAAGATCATCTTCAGATATCTGGGACCAAGTGATCATAGCAATTTATTTAGTGGCTTGTTTCTGAGAGGATCAGCAGTCAGTTGTCATTGGGCACAAGTCCTACATAGTCCCTGTATAATAAAAGCTTGTCAGATCACTTTTGGACAAGTTTTGCAGAAGAAATACTAGCCAGTGTTCTTTAAAAGAGCAAGGCATCCTATGCTTTACTTAAGTTTAATGCCAAATAGTTTGACTCTGCCTGTATTATCATTTGAGATAGAGAGTGCCCAGTTCAGTAGACTTCAGGGGAGGGGTAATCATCAGCTTCCTAGGATTATATCTGTGGAAGAGAGCACCAGGCATTATTTAAAGAGGCTTAAAGCCAGTAATGCCTGGGTTTGGCACTCATTTCTTTTTTTTTTTCTTTTTTCTTTTTTTTTTTTTTGTCATTTGTTTTCCCACTGAGTAAAACAATTATTCTCATGCGCTAAAGAAAAAAAATATATATATCTCCATGTTATAATTTATGGTGAAGAAGTACTATAGATGGGGATTAACCACTTCACTGTCAAAATCTGAGGCAATTTTCCTTTCAATATCATCAATAAAGTGCCTTATGTAGACCCTTCTTAAAATATAATATGCATAAAGTTATTTTCCTTGTAAAATTAAAATCAATACTTTTCTTAGAGGAAGAAATTTCTCTCTTAAAAAGAGAAAATGATTGAGAGAAAAGATATAGTTGAACTACTCTAGTAGAAGATAGCATAAGCTATTTAATTTTTTTTAACATCACATTCATTGTATTTTTTTATTGGCTTACAGAAAAAATCGCTAATATTTGAAGTCAGTACTAAACCAATGTCTAAATATTCTTGTGAAGAAATTCAATAATAGTTTCCAGTAAAAACTTTTTAATGAAAAGTCCATGCATGCCTCAGATATGCTTTTTGTTTGTTTGTTTTTTATTTTTTGGGGCTTTTTTTTGCTAACAAACTACATGCAAGGGACATTTGTCATAATGATAGAATCTATGAAAACAAGGACCTGTTTGTAAATAAATCTTCAAAAGGAACTGTAGCACTGAACAAAGTTGTGTTGAGATACCAGTTTAACATAATTTCACTTAAACTTTTTTTATTCCACTCATCAATGTTATCTGTACACTTAGGTCAATTACTAGCAGTTAACAATGGACAATGGGTGAGATGTTTTCTGTAACCATTCATTTGTCCCCACATTCAATGAACACTTACAAATAAGGATAAAGAATTCATCACTTTTGAGTTTCTAATGAGTTGTATGTGTACACATTTGGGATTTCTGCTCTATAGTTCCCTTAACTAGCATCTGTGGTCAGACATTTCTACTAAGTGAAGATGGCCCCACTTTCACAAGCCTAAGGAAAAAGGTTACTCCAAAAGATCATTGTCCACTTTTACCTCTGATTTTTTTTTTCCCCAAATCTAATGAAAACTCCTCAATATTCTTATCCAGATGATAGAAAATGAAGAGTGTGTGGCTGACACTTTGAAAAGTCCCCAGCTCTGCTGTAGGCTGAAATACATGAATTGTTCTGCAGCTGGAAAGCAATTACAATAGGAAGAAACACTCTTCAAATTAAATGTATGTCTTATTAGATTATTAAGAGTACAATTGTGAATTTTCTTAAGTAGTTCTCCCATGGCAATCCTTGAATTTTGTTGTAAGTAGCTTTCTGATTTTTTTCTGAAGTGTACTTAATGAAAAGAATCTTTGTCAGTATCCCTTATCATTATATATTTTCTTCTTCAAACAGAAAAGAAGCTTAAACTACACTATCTTTAATATTACTTTGATTTTTTATCTAGGCAAGCCAGTTATACTCTGCACACATATATATACATTTCATCATCTGGGATCAAACCACACATTTTATGAATGTCTTCAATTTCTATCTTATTGGAACAGTGACCACATTTGTTGTCATTTTTTGGGCTTGTTTGCCACATTTTGGGCTTGTAATTTTTCACTTAGAGTAAAGCTGAATTCCCTGAATAAGAAATTTGCTACAAGTAAGGTGCCTAGCTCATCCTAAAACTATGGTATCCTGAGGCCTACAACAAAAGATGTTCAAAAAGGAGGATAAAGATTCCTCTAGCATCAGTCATCCAAGTATGAAAGGCTAGCATGTGCATACATTCAAAAGATGCCTTTTGAAATCAAACTTACTGCTTGTTATTTCTGTGAAATCATATGCTACATCCATACCCAGTAGGAATTCCAGTCTACTTAATCTGAAACTCTTACATGTCCATCATGCAATGGAAGTGTGCAGAAGCACAACTATTTGCTGCTTGTCGTTTGGGCTTTGGCAGCTAAAACATATTAAACAAACCAAATGTATCAACCTTCTCATCATAATCTTGAGCAAATAGGTCATAGAGAAAAGACTTTGCATAGACATTTCTATCTAGAATTATACCATTTGAAGTCATATGGCAGGCTTTATTCAGCAAAATTTCAGTGACTTTACTATTATAGTAGCCACACAGGTTGCCTAAAATACCTGTTATAGCTGGAGAAAATAGCAAATAAACAGAATATAGAGTGTATGTAAGAATGTAGAATATAGAATTTCAAACTGCAGTTATAAAAGGTGTGAGGGTGAGGATGCAGTTCCTTACATAATGATTGTACTTTGCCATCGATCATAACTGGATTCATTTTTCACTTTCAGAAAATGAATGTTATCATCCAATTTGAATTTGAGAAAATGCACACTCATAGACTGCTGGGTTTCAAGAACAGATTGACTGAAATGAGCAAAGGAAAGGATTAAAACCCTCTTTCCCAACATAAAAAACCTCATAAAATGAAAAGTCTAAGCACTGCACAGCAAAAGCGCTCCAGCTTTTATTTCTGATTCACTTATTTGTCCCTAGATAGTCACTGCAAAAAAAAAATTCTCTTTCGCTCCCTACTCCATAAAAAAAAAAAAAAAAAAAATAATAATAATAATAATAATAATAATTGCTTCTCTTTCTTCTCCTTGTTGTGAATTTTTGCTTGTCCCCAAGCTCAGGAGAAAGTAAGTTACATTTAAAAGAAAAAGAAGGAAAGGGAGAAGGGGGAAGGGGGAAGGGAGAAGGGAGAAGGGAGAAGGGAGAAGGGAGAAGGGAGGAGGGAGGAGGGAGGAGGGAGAAGGGAGAAGGGGGAAGGGAGAAGGGAGAAGGGAGAAGGGGGAAGGGAAGGGAAGGGAAGGGAAGGGAAGGGAAGGGAAGGGAAGGGAAGGGAAGGGAAGAATTAAGTTCTACCACTGGGTTGGCAAAAAATCCAGAGTTCTTGGCAGTCATAGAGTCAGTGGAGTCAGTTGGAGCTGTTGAAACATAGTCTAATTTTGAGAGCAGCATCATAATTTTCATACAAGCTTGATGCTTCACCTAATGCATGACTCAGAAGTGATTCCAAGTAAAGAATTTGAGGGAACTAAGGAACAAATTCCAAGCCCACCTGTTGATTTTCAAATACAGATCATTGTGGAAAATTTTAAAAGGTTAAGATAAAAGGAGGGTAATTTGGAGTGTACTTGTGCTCTCAAAATTTTTCAATTAATATCCATCTCCGTTCACCTGAATGGAAAAAAAGCAACCCTGAATTTATTCACGATTTTCCCTGCTGTACATATTTCAGTTCACAATAGGCCCAGAGGTCTTCAGTAATAAATAAATGAAAAAAAAATTAAAAAGATCTTTCACGATTATTTTTCTTTTGTTGATTGTTTTTACCTTTTTCTTACTTCATACTGACTGTAACTCAAACTGCTAAATCACATAGAGCTTGAACCATAAAAGTCAATGGCAACCTTTCCATTGACATTATGTTTTGAAGCAAGTTTTCAGCAATTTCCACTTTTAGACTGTAAATTCTACATGAATACCACAGAGTTGGGAGCGCTTAGAATTTCCCTTTTTCAGGTTTTACCTGAACATGCTGTCAACAAATATTGATCTATTAATGAGAGGTGTAATCTAATGACAACTACCTCTTACATACTGATAACCTCCCATCTCCCACTGAGAAGGGTTAAAGAATTTGTGAAGCTTCTTAACCATAATGAAAGGCTGGAACCATTTCTAACATAAAAATGCATGGCATTGGGGGACATTTTCAGAATAGCTTTTGCAAATAGAAATCAAGGTCACTTCAAGTTTGACACTGAGTTCTGTCTACCTTTCCAAGTATGTTGGGGAAACCTAATTAAATAACAAGTAGCCTTTTTGGTAGCAGTCAGAACTCCAGCTTTGAGTTGGAGGTAGGAAGTACATAACTGAGAAAGGGGGACAGAAATATTTTAAATGGTTTGAAACGCAACAGCAACTGCTGGATTTGAGCCAAATGGGTTTTACCCATTTTATCTGAATTGCTTTTGGCTGTTCCTAGTAACCCTGTTTTAATATGCACTTATTTTCCTGTATTACAGGACACCTAGGAACTTACATCCCTCAGACAGCTTCGACAGCAAAGTGGTTAATGTTTGAAGAATGAATCATTCTTTCCTTTTCCTTGACACTGGGTTCTTATTGTACAACCCTGTACAGTACTTAGCAATATTTTTTTAAGATTTAAAAAGCAAAGAGTTACAAAACCATTTGCAATTGACTTGAAATAGAAAAGATAGCACTTTTTAAATCCCATTATATAGTACACCGTATAAATTACAGAGTATTCAAATGCATAAATGCATCTGTTTAACATTTATCAAATGTAATTTTTTCATTGCTGTGAGGGTTACTTTCTCCAGAGTTTTTTCTCTTTATCCTTTACACCCCCATCTCCCCTTACTATCACGTATGACAGTGCTCCAGGTCTGAGACATTGCTATTGCAGTATCGTATGTTATTGGGGATGTGACAGTCTGTGTAGTTAATGCCCCCATTTGGGGTATAAATGGGCTGCAGTCTGAAATCTCCTTTAAGGAGCTGATCATTATTTAAGGACACAATCTGGAAGCTGGTTTCCGTCATTTCCAGGATGGAGTTGTCCTTCTTGGTTCCTGCCTCACAGTAGTCATCTTTCCGACGGCCTCGATTGTATTTCCACTTCTGGGAGGTGTAACGCCCCTTTTTGTGCATGTGCCAGCAAAAAATGCTGAGAAGGACCACGAGCACAAATATCACTGCACCCCCGATTAAACCTGCAAGCAGAAATGGGGAGCCCAGGTTCTGAGAAGTTGTCTGCTCATGGCTGGAGGGAATGTTGCCGCCACTGTTCGAAAAGGAAGCCTTTGTTGTGGCTTCTGAACAGACAGTGTCTTCTCCAGTTCGGTAATTATTATAAGCATCCAGAGGAACCAAGCAAATCCGATAGGTGGATTTGGGCTCCAGATTTACCAAGCTGAAGTGTTGTTTCTCACCACTAACTATTCGTTCCTGAACAATTCCTCCTACCAGACTATGGCCCATTTTAACCCATGTGAGTTTATATGCCATCACAGTAAAAACAGATATCCAGTTAACCTGGATGCAAGTATCATTCACAAAATGGATAGAGAGTTGAATTCGCTCAGATATAGGAGGTGTTACCCTTTCTCTGTCTTCCCTGTCAGGCACAGTGGGGAGTGTGACTATGATAGGAGTCAGAGGACTATACTTAGTACTTGGGGGAGGAACTGATGAGGAGGGAACTAATGTAGTTGGCTTAGCTGTAGCTGGAACTGGGGTGATGACAAGTGACATACCTGGGGTAGTGGTGGGGCATGACAGCATATTCATATTAAGCTCCCTGACTGCCATACCTCGGACCTGCTCTGGTCCCTGACACATAAAACCCCGTACATTGATGGAAGAGGGAATAAACTTGAGCCATTCAGTGACCCACTTAATACTGCAGTCACATAACCAGGGATTATTCCTTACAGTGAGTTGCCTCAAGTTGTGGAGATCATCAAATACACCCTTTACCAACATACGAAGCTGATTGTTGGAAATATCAAGACGTTCCAGTTTGTGAAGGTTTGAGAAGGCTGTAAGTGGTATATGGGTTATCTGGTTGTCTTGCAAGTAGAGCCTTAGCAAATGTGTACCTGGAAGATCAGAAGGAGGATGGGTCAGTGAATTACGCACTATAGAGAATTCCTTGAGCTTGGAGAGGTGGCCAAAGGTGCCTTCAGCTATGCCTTTATTAGTAAGCAGATTGCCATCCAGAATCAGACGTTCCAAACTTGTAAGATTCTGGAAGGCCAAGTCTGAAATGACAGCAATTCGATTTTCATCTACTCGAAGTTCTTGTAAGTCCACTGGAAGGCCTACTGGTACACTGCTTAAGTGATTCTTGGACAAGAACAGAAGCTTGAGGCTGATGGCTTCCCGGAATGCCCCATCCTCAACTCCAACAGTGGAGATGGAGTTGTCATCCAGGTGCAGTTCTTCCAGCTTCAAGAGCTGAGCAAGAGCAGCCCGAGAAATGGTCTGAATATTGTTTTCCTGCAAGTGGAGAACCCTGACATTTTTGGGCAGGTTCATTGGGAACTCATCCAATTGGTTGCCATAAAGATAGACTGTGTGCACAGACTGGACATTGTGCAATTCTGCAGGAAATCCAGCATTATTTATTTGGTTATTATGGAGGTAGAGGACGGTTACACCCTCTGGTATCCCAAGAGGCACTGAGGTCAAGCTTCGCTCATTACAGTAGACAAAGTTTCGATCGCAGCGGCACACTTTTGGACAGGCCAAAGTTTTGGAGACCTGCATGTAGAGCCCCAGGGAAAAGATAAGCCATGATTTCATGAGAACAGCCCAGTCTGAGGGCCACAATCTAGTCCAGGAACCCATTTCCAATTTAAAGAAATGAAGTATCAAAGTGTTAAAGAGAGCTAATAACAATAATAAAGGACAAGTAGCAAAATCTCAGATCATTAAAACTGGCTTCAGCTTATGTCCAGTGTTCAAGCAGAGGTAAAGTCCTTCAGGCTAAGTATAAAATAATCATTTTACAGTTGGCCCAGCTCCTACTTTTGATAAGAAAGCCACAGTCCTATTAGCCAGGGTTACAAATCTTGTTGCTTTCCTCCATGTGTGCCGAAAGAAACAATAGCTGTGTTCTTGTAGTTGAGCAACCAGTTAATTTAAAGCTACCAAAAGCTGTCTGTACAAGTTGCTTGGAGTGATATTATTTCCTTTCATTGAAGTCTGTTGATGTTATGCTCAGCTTTCTGAAGTCATCGAAGTCCTCATAACAGCTATCAGCTGGATCTGGCCTGCCTGTGAAATAAAAGAAGAAAAAAAATGAATACCATGAAATGTTTCATAGGGAAGATCAAGCACTTTGGAAGACTATTCTAAAGTCGTGCTCTTTATGGCCTTCTGTTTAAAAAAAAAAAAAAAAAAAGAAAGAAAGAAAGAAAAAGAAAGGCATTAATATTAAACATTAGCTTACTATTACTATTAAATGGTCTTGAAATAGATTTGGTACAAAATCACTGCAATGATTGAAAGACTTTCAGTGATTTCAGTGAAAGTTAGAACTATCACTTCTGCTTGCATATTGTATCTCCAGTCTTTGTCTTCTCACAGAATTCCAAATGCTAAAACTTAAAGATTTTACTTTTTCTTGTCTTGCTCTTTTTTTATTTTACAGAACTCCAGTGAGCCCTATTCATTGACACTTGACAGACTAGACTCTAGACCATACCACTTAAACATTCTCTACATTTTTTCATTTCCTATCAGAATCTGGAATGTTCTGCTTCCATTTCCATAATGCCCTTATGTATTTTCTCATACAGCTTTAATGTACATTACCAGATTATTGCACCTCACTACAGTAAATTAGTTATGTATGAGGGGAGTCTTCTGAAAAATATGGTAATCCACAAGTAGAAGATGCTCTGCTGTAAGACATATATTTGTTAAAGCTATCATCTTGATATTGTTACCTATGTAAACTGCGCTGTCAACAGACTTCAGAATTAGCACTCCACTAAATGAAACTGGCTCACATCTGCTCAGTTATTGTTTTAGGATATCAGCTCAGAAAACAACAGTTTTCCTAAAGAACACCTTTTTTGAAACCATAAAGGTTAGATACTTCCTTTAATTCTGCTACATAGCAGTTGGTGAATGGCTTAATAAATAATAAAAAAAAAAGTGTTAGTTCTTGTGTAGATGAGTTTATATTTTCAGCTTTTAAGAATACTTTTAACTTAAAGCTTCACAGAATGACTATTTGTCATTCATATCTCTTACTAAAAATTTCAACACTTTAAAGCATGAAAAGGAAGATACTGCATTTCATGCTATAGTAAAACATTCCTTGTCTTACTATATGTATAAATATATGTAACTATGTATAAAATTATGAAATGTAAGAGATTTATTTTATAACCCAAAATAGAGGATATAAATAAGTATTGTAGATCTCAGTGTCTTTCATTGCAATTACCTGAACAAAATAATTTCCCAGATTTTTTGATCAAACTCAAAGTTCATTCGCTGTGATTTAAGTTGAATAGAAATCATCTTTAAAATTTATTTTTCCTTTATTTAAACAGACTAAGCATCATCCATTTTTTTTCAGTAGTGCCAGAAATGTCATTCAGGAGTACACAAAAGCTTGTGTTTTTGTTACAGTTGTACAGTTTATAACATATCCCAAATACTACATGGGACTGTAAGTGCAAAAAATCTCTTTTGGAGTCAAAATCTTATAGCCATGCAATTGGTAGATTACTGTACTTATTTGGAATGTCATTAGATAACATTCTCATGTCTGCAACAGATGGAGATAAAAACTGAGGCCCTGAAAAGTCTTCTACTTCACCATTATGTCTATGTCTAGTAAATGTACCATAATGCAGACCTTTTCTTGAAATGGTAAGATTATCTACACCACTATTCAAAGATTTATCTCTCACAGGCATATTTTGGTGAATCACAGAATCACAGAATTGTAGGGGTTGGAAGGGACCTCCAGAGATCATCGAGTCCAACTCCCCTGCAAAAGCAGGTTCCCTACTGAAGAGAGTTTTCTTTTTTTTTAGTGAAGAGTATTTTCTTTTCAATCACATAAGAACTTGTGATTCTGTAGCAGGATTGCATCCTAATATGATCCTAGGTGTGACAGTTTATCTGTGTCTAATCTGTCCTGTCTCTAATCTAGCTCTGATCTGTCCTGACATTGTCTTTCCAAAATAAGAATGTGCAGAAGAGCCTCCTCTGAGATGCGTGGGACTGCACAGAATAATAATGGTTCTCACTCCCTTTCTGTCATCAGAGACAATTTGCACCTCCCACAAAAATCAATACATTGTATCTAGTTCTGTTTTGATCACAAATATGATTGTTGAATAAGCTTTTCTGACACTCAGATATGATAGGAAGCCAAGTTGAGGGCATGCAGCCACAGTCAGCTGCAGCTCCTGATACACTGTGGATCTCCTGAGGTGAGAATATTGTATTAATATGTGTCTATACATTCACCTTACTCTAGGACTCTGCCTAAAGGGCCTCTCTGCTTGGTAAATGGGGCTTCTAAATAAAAGATTTCAGTAAAAATTTTAGTAAATTGGGTCAAATCATGCAGTGCTTCCCATCATATATTAAAAGAATTTTGACTGGATGGTCACTTAACAACAGCAGCGCTTTGGAAGGTGACTTGGAATTCCCCTCCTTTTTATGGTTACAGTGATTTTGCTCTCAGAAATCTTTTAAAACTTTTCTGCTTCCCTTACACTATTGTTACTGGTTGACTACACAACGGGTGTTGGGATTTGGACTAGATGACCTCTAGAGAGTCCCTTCCAACATTATGAATTCTATGATTCTATGATCTGCGTGACAGTCAGCTGAACATGACCAGCAGTGTGTCCAAATTGGCCAAGAAGGCCAATGGCATCCTAACGCATGTCAGAAATAGTGTAGCAAGCAGGACCAGCAGGGTCAGGGAGGTAATCATCCCCCTGTACTCACCAGTACCTCAAGTAGTGTGTTCAGTTTTGGGTTCCTCACTATGAGAAATACGTGGATATTGATGGTAGGTGACTGGATTACATGATCTTAGTGGTCTTTTCCAACCTCAATGATTCTATAATTCTGTGAAAAGGAGTCCTTTTATTAATGCCAGCATTCCAAATTCCAACTAGCATACTGGTAACTACTATGCTGAGACGTTGAAACTCACAGTACAGAAAATACGTAGTCACTTAGGCAGCTACTGTTGATTGTATTAAGCAAGAGCACAAGGACAAATCTATTAAGATATTTATGACTTCAGAGTTGACTGCGGTGTAACAGAGGGAAGCAGTAAGGAAGAAAATACAGAAGTGAATGTGTTTAAATGAATTATTTTGGAAAGACTTTCCCTCAGTATTCTTCTATAACTATTTAATAATAATTCATAGTGGTTGTAACAGTTGCAAGAGCAGAATATTTCAGCTGATCTCAAGAATCCAAATGCAAATTGAGTTATGTCCCTGAATTAGAATTTTCCATCCCAAAGATATAAAAAAAAGATTTGAGCAACATTCTTGATTTGAAAATGAAATTCCTGGAAGGAAAAACATCTTAGGTAAATTCCAGAAGGCTGGAAAAGTTGTCTTTGGGTAATTATCAACACTGAGAGTAGGTAAAATAATTGTGCTTTCTCCCCATCTCTGTAATGTTGGCTTTCTGAAACAAAATCTATATCTTTAGTATTCTTAGAAGATCTTAATTTAGTCTGTCCATAAATGAATTGGTTATTTGCAGAGGCAGAATTAGGGAAGTAGATAAATTAAAGTCAGAAACTGTAAATTGTTAGTAGCTTGTTTAGTGTGAAGACAGCAAATTCTAAAAATCAAGGTGGGAAGAGAAGATAAGGGTAAAAGAATATATTGCGGTTAACATTTTATTTTTTTTAAAATCAACAAGCAGTAATAAGACATCTGCTCATCATTATCTTGATTTTTTTTTCCCATTTCTTTATCATGTACACTCAATGTCTATTATTTCCCACTGCATCCTCCTTGGAGCACAAGACACGTCTTCAAAGTTTCTAGGACATTTCCCGTCTTACTGCAACCGGGATATTAAATCCTGTTAGGATTTAAGGAAGGAAGTATAGAAGTTGAGTGAGGCATACTGAAATAGATTAGAGCATACATACTCATTTTAGGTGGCCATGCCTGAAAATTTGGCTTAATGGCTTGAGTACCTGACATCAATGAAAATGTTCCTTTTTACATCTTAGAAGTTTTTGAGGAATGTTTTTATCTCACTGTCTTCTCAAACCAGCTTTATTTTAATTTTCTCTTGGCATAATTAATATCTACCTTTGAGTGTTGGATAAAAATTTCAAATTTGATTTTTTCAAGACTGAAACTGAACTGCTGCTTTCACATACTTTGATTAAAGTTATAAAAAGGCTGAAACATCTGGCTGGAAGTTGTAATGGTGAAGGTTTTTTAAGTCTCCCCTTTACTGCTGAGGAGCATCCAGATAATTTCAAGCTTCAGTCATACTGCTTTGCATAGGCTATGCAATTTAGCTTCCATAAATATTTGTGTTTCAATAATTAAAATATATTACTGAAAATGCTACCAAGTTACAAACTCGTAATATGTAGGAATAAAACCTAACATCTCACTAGCAGGTATTTTATAGATGTCTTTCCTGTGTTGCTCACCAGCATTACTTCAATGGCTGGGTCTAAAGTGTCCAAAAAATCTTCCAAATGGCCAAAAGGCAACCTTCACCAGTTTTCATGCTGCAGACCTCCAAGCATGCAGTAGTCAAACCTCTGTGGCTGCCTCAGAACCTTCTGAGGTTCAGGGAGGAGTAAACAAGTAAACAGGAATCAAGGAGAAAGAATAGCTTGTGGAATACAATCTGCACATATATATACTTACAGTCCTGTGTTACAAGCACAGGAGTCTTGCTGTGTTCCTGAAATGAGGTAGCCTGCATGTTGTACAGAAAGGCTATTAATTTTTTAGAAGGAGTAAAAAAATAACAGTGTTAACTACTCCATCCTTCAAGGAATCCTAAAAATAAAAGCAGTTCCTGGGGACCTGGATATTTTTTTTTTATAATCTAACCACATAGGATTGTTTTTCCTAGCAGCTTATCCATTTATCTGAACCTGAATGCTATAAACTGAAAGAAAGAAAGAAAGAAAGAAAGAAAGAAAGAAAGAAAGAAAGAA